TGGTCGTTCACGTCCAATTCTTGTACAATTTCATGAGCATAACACAAAGTCTGAAGTGTGGAAAGCTAAAACTAAGTTAAGGGGATCTCAAATATCTGTGTCTGAGTTTTTAACTAAAATGAGGCAATCTGTACTTAAAAAAAGCCCGCAAGCATTTTGGAATGAAGAATGTGTGGACCTTAGATGGAGCAATTTTCATCAAACTTCCCAATAATGAACGGGCAAAAATCTTCATTGAAGAGGAGATTGATACTCTCATTCAACAGTTTCCTGTTGATTTTTCATCAGCAAGTCTTAGTATAGCCCCTAACAGCAGTATCACTAATAGTGTAAAGAAACCCATACAAGCACTGCAAAGTTCTTCAAGCACAAAAATTCTGTGTGAGACTTCTCCTCGCAATCAAGTTGATGTGGTGGTGCAGAAAGAGGATTCTAAAAGGTCCCGCCGTTTAATTGCTAAAAAATAGCTTGCTTAATTTACATATAATGGTATTCCTAGGTATCCTTTATTTTTGTAATCCACTGTTTTATATTATTGATTTACATATATTTAGTTAAGTGTTTATAGTCCTGCATCTTCTTGGTTGTAATGACTGTAGCACAGAACAATATTGTCTGTACTGTACCTAGTCATAAGTCACTTTTTTACAGCAGTATAATAGCAATTTTATTTTTAAGTTGTTTTCTTCTAATAGTACAGTCTGCATAGGAATTTTTATTTCTCTAAATATAAACTTAATGAGATTTTATCTTGTAATACATAACTTGCTTGGGTTCAATTTCCTTTGTTTCTTGGCTGAGGTTTCTTACTTGGTAGGTTTGTTTATACTATGCTTGATATTGGTAACAATACTTATCTTTTTATAAATTTACCTACCACATATTTTTAATTTAATTTTTTTTTTGTTAAATTTTGGGTTTTGATTTGTTTGATTTGACAATGACAACTATGTATTACTTTTTTTTTTCCTTTTATAGACAAAGGACACATGAATCATACAGCCAGCGTCGATCTTATACTTTGCTTTAATCGATTTTCTCTTGGTAAACATTTTCCTGTAATTTTTTTTTTTTGTGATATCTACTTAGGAACTTTATTATTAATCAAGATTAATTTTGCCACTTTAGATATTTTAGATCATAAGTTTGCATATAAAATTTTATTTATATTAAGTTTACTCTGTAAACAGTTAACTGATGGGTTGGTGATGTTTATGTTTAGTAATTTGTTAGTTAATAGTTATAGTTTACATAACTTACTTTATTTATTATTTTTTTATTATTATTTTTTTTATATATTTATTTAATTTATTTATTATTTTAGTATATGTAATATGTCTGATGTTGAGTCGTTTAGCTCTGCAAATGATTCTTCTACTTTGTCATTTCACTCTTGTAATGATTCTCTCAACGAGAGCGTGCTTAATTTACACGAACTACTCAAAGGAGTTTTTACGCCTTTTAACAACTCTGTGAACATATGTCATATTAACGCTCAAAGTATCCCGAGCCACTATTCCGAACTTGAAGCTTCATTTTTCCCCGAGTATATTCATGCTATATTAGTGTCGGAAAGTTGGCTGAAACCTTCTTTACCATCAACTTTATATCCCTTACCCGGCTTTGTACTTGTTAGGAATGATCGTGTTGGAAAAGGTGGAGGTGGTGTAGCAATCTACCTAAATGCATCAATTCCTTATAAAATTGTCTTAGCATCTCCCTCCTGCTATTCCGCTTCTTCTGAGTTTTTATTTGTGGAACTCGATGTCAAGGGCATCAGGATGCTTCTAGGGGTAGTGTATTGCCCCCCATCTACCGACTGCTTCGCCACTTTAGATATGGCTCTTGTTGATATTTGTTCTGAGTACACTCACTGTATAATCATGGGTGATTTCAATACTGATCTGTTGAAAAACTGCCCTCGTTCCAAAAGGTTTCTTTCAATTATTGAGTCGGTTAATCTTTCTATTCTCCCTTTAAAGGCTACTCATCATAATATCGGAACTGATGACTCATTGATTGATCTAATCCTTGCTGCTTCTCCTGAACATGTAATGACGCATGGACAGTTACCCGCTTTGGGTTTCTCACGCCACGACTTAATTTATGCATCGTATAAGCTTAAACCTCCTAAATATTCCCCTACTGTAATGCATCTTCGCAGTTTTTCTAAAATAGACTTTGTCAAGCTTAGGAATGACGCTCTTAATCTCGATCTAGCCTCCTTAATAGCAGCATCTACTGTTGACGATAAAGTCAGTATCCTTAACCACAATATTCTTAGCCTTTATGATGCTCATGCTCCTGTTCACAAGGTTAGATTGAAGCGTCCCCCTGCCCCTTGGATGACAGAGGGCATAAGGATGGCAATGGCTAGACGAAATCGTGCTTTTCTTCGTTTCAAGAGAAATCGAACCGAAGAAAATTGGTTATTTTTTAAAGCAGCTAGGAATAGGTGTAATCATATGGTACGTGCAGCTAAACGCCGATATTTCCATAACTGTATTAATAACTCTTCTCCAGTTTTAGTGTGGAAATTCCTAAAATCTTTCGGTCTTTGTAGACCAGCTACATTGGATTGTGGTCCTTCTCTGTCACTTGATAAAATCAACCAACATTTCGCTTCTGTAAAAGCACTGGACTCTGCAATTCGTTCCCAAACTATGGCTTCCATTGCTTCTATGCAAATTCCTAACATTCCTACCTTTACTTTTTCTCCTGTTTCTGAGGATGATGTCAAAAAGTCAATTTTAGCAATCCAGTCCAAGGCCGTGGGTTACGACGAGATCAGTAGACATATGGTAGTATTTATACTAGAGCACCTTCTCCCGGCAATTACCCATATAATCAATTTTTCCCTTGATTCAGGTCAGTATCCTAATCTTTGGAAGAGGGCTTTTGTAAAGCCTCTCCCAAAAGTTCCTACTCCCATTCTTCCCAATCATTTTCGTCCAATATCCATTCTACCCTTTCTTTCCAAAATTTTAGAATCCTGTGTTTACAAGCAAATTTCTACTTTTGTTTCGAAACATAACCTACTGAGTATATATCAGTCTGGGTTTCGTCCTGGTCATAGTACCACTACTGCATTAATTAATGTTATTGATAATATTAAACAAGGCATGGAAGAAAAAAAATAACAGTACTGGTACTAGTTGATTTCTCAAATGCTTTCAACACAGTCGATCACGAAATCCTTCTTTCCATACTGTCTCACCTGAATTTTGGCCCTACTGAATTGGATTGGTTTACATCTTATCTTCGCGGTCGACAGCAGTCAGTCAGTGTGGGGCAACTGTCCTCAGCGTGGGCTGATGTGGATGCTGGTGTACCGCAAGGCGGTATTCTTTCTCCTATAATGTTTTCAATTTTTATAAACTTCATTACTTCCATCATCGACTGCTCGTACCATTTGTATGCCGATGACCTTCAGCTTTATGTGCAAACTGAGATTGGGGATATCCATAATGGGATCAAAAACCTTAACGGCAACTTAGCAGCTATCAGGGATTGGTCAACTCGTTATGGGGTTTTGGTCAATCCCTTGAAATGCCAAGCTATACTGGTGGGTAGCTCAAGGATGCTGGCTAAGATTAATCTGACAGACTTACCTCCTATTTACTATGATAATTCTACAATTCCATTCAATAATTCTGTTAGAAATCTTGGCCTTCACATCGACAGCACGCTGAATTGGAGAACTCAGGTTTCAGATGTGAGTCGTAAAGTCACTGCCACGTTATGCTCTCTGTATCGTTTAAAGCATTTTCTCCCCACAAAATCTAAGATCATGCTTGTCCATTCACTTATATTACCCATAATTGATTATGCAGATGTGTGTTACCCAGACCTGTCCCAAGATCTTCTGAACAAGCTGGAACGCCTCCTCAATAACTGTATAAGATTTATCTTTGGGCTCCGTAAGTATGATCATATTTCGCAATACAGATCTAAGCTAAATTGGCTTACAATCCGGCAGAGGCGCAACTCCAGAATATTACTTGTACTTTTTTCCATATTAAATGATCCATCTTCGCCTTCTTATCTTAAGAGTAAATTTCATTATCTTTCCTCATCTCATGATAGGGTCCTACGCTCTTCTTCTAACAACAAAATCTGTACTCCAGTTCACTTCACTGAGTTCTATGGTAACTCCTTCACAGTTCAGGCTACACGCCTTTGGAACTCCTTGCCCGATGACATCAGAAAAGCACCCAATAAGTACGCTTTTAAAAAGTTGGTCCGTGATCATTTATTAAAGACAACGCATTCTACATGACTCATTTATTTATTTAATATGTATTGCCGAACAGACGTATATATTCATAGTCATTTGTATATACTAATTATGTATGTATTGTATGTATATCCATTTATTTATATATTTGTATATATGTAAGGATAGATCATATATGTATAGTTTATTTATTAGTAGTTTGTATATATTATGTAGTTAATTATCGTATTGTGTTATCTTATTCTATATTGCCACACCTACGTCAAACTCTCACCACTCCATGGGTTGACTGGTAGAGAATGCCTCAAGGCATTAAGTCCGCCCTTTGTATTCTTTTGTTAAGGATGCAATAGAGAATAAATAAATAAAAAAATAAAAATAAAACTTGCTTAATAAAAATTGTTAATAATTAACATTAAACAACTGTGATTTTTAATGTTTAATTCCTACTGCAATGAAACTACAAGTACCTATTGTTTAGATGCTAAGAAGATTGTTATTTAACAATAAATAATTTTCAATTATAAACCTTGTTAATTAATAAAACACAGTCCTGATAATTTTATTTAAGGACATGTCTTCGTTTACATTTCAAGAAATATAGTCCTACCTCGAATTAATGAAACCGCGTATACAGCGATATGTCTTCATTGATGCATTTTATAAATTCATGGGCGATCTAAGGATGTTTAATGTATCCGTTAGAAAACAAAACATTATTCTACGGTTTTATAAAACAGGTACAGAAAACAAAAACATTATTCTACGGTTTTATAAAACATTTCTTTCCCCAAGCAGCGATTCTCTGCTTCAGGTCGTCTATGCGCTTCGTCAGTTTTTGCATTATATCCGGCTGGGACAAACTAACATTTCCAGCAAACGCCATCATGACGTTGCGCAAAATCCTTGGCCTGGTATTGCCTGACCTGAAGCATATCAGTCTGCCGATGAGGGCCGTAGTCTTTGCGATACGTTCTTCAGTTATTATTCTCCAGGTTAGGATAGCACTACTTTGTCCTGTAGCGCGTCCAGCCGTGGAGAATTTGGCGCCTATAATACGGCAGACTGCCAGTGCGGCGCCAAAACGAATTAAGTCCGTCTCGCAAAGGTCCCGGCTGGCTTCCAAATAGGTCACCAGCATTGGGTTCAGAGCCCTCACGACAGCCCGATTCCGCTTGCTTAGGGCTATGCGGGGAAGTCGCGGTCGATTTTCGAGAGGCGTACTGCGCGTTTCCATAATCGCCTCTTCCAATGTACTCCTCATTTCTCTAGTTCCAGTTCCTGGGCGATTGTTTCATCATCGTTTGAATCAACCACAACTGGGGTATTCACGGCGGCATACACGTTTGCCGTTAGCCGTAGCATTTTCACCCGATGAAGGAACAGCCTCACGTCGTAGCCGTTTGAGTTCGGCGACATCAAATATGTTTGAGCGCAAGATATACCGAACTCGGTCTGCCAGGTTTTGTTCTGTGACGGTTATAGATGGCTCCAGCTCAGGAAAAAGACGATGCATCCTAGCCCGATATGCCAAACCTCCAACTTCTCCCCCTTTCGCCCTAAAATACGCCCGCAGTGCATTCGTATTCATTTTGATTGTCCATCGCATGCGGTGTACTCCACCAGTGGCGGGTGCTGATTGCTGGGCCCGCGAAGACCCTGCCGACACCAAACCAGATGGTGGGATTGATGGATGCGAGGAGCTGATGGGTGGTCGTGCAGCACCTCTCGCTCGGCTGGCAGTTCGCATGCTTTCGCGTCCAGCGCCAGCTCCAGACACGCCCTGGCGACCTCCAGGCAGCGGCCCTTTGCGCGTTCTTCCGTATTCCATCATCCATATAAGTAGGCGCCATTTAACGAGAGATGCCCAGACCTGGCACCGTTTCATGGTGGGGCCATGTGTACAAGCGGGCCTTTGCACCTTCAATTTTTGCCGAGGCACGGCACTTACACCTCTTGGCAAGGTGCTGACTGACTGCGCTGACGTAGCGGTTTTGTCACATAACTCTTACGTCAGCGGGCGATGGGGTCGTCATTTCCCTACGCCTTATCATTTCCCTACGCATTATTATTATTATTTTGGGGTATCTATATAGTTTTCTCATCTGGTTGGGATCTATAAATATATAATTATAAATGAAAATGAAAAGATAAATATACATAAATATCAATAAAATAAAATAAATACAAAAATACGTAAATAAATAAAAGCCTAACCAGATGGAAGCCCTCGGCAGGGGAGACCAAACGGCCGAGGGTTAGGGGAAAGGGAAAGAAACCGGCGGACGATGCCGGCGGTATCGAGGAGCACCGCCTTTTGCATTTGAGCCCGGAGCAGTCCGTCACGGAGTCCCAGTCGCCTCAGATGACCCGAGAGGCTGACTGGGATTAGCCCATTCGCAGAGACGACTACAGGAATAATTTCGGCCGGCAGACCACCCCACATATCGGTCACCTCGTGAGCCAGGTCCAGATATTTTGTTCGTTTATCTGTTTCGGCTTTCACGAGGTTCTCGTCATACGGAATGGTAATGTCGACCAAAAATATCCTTGACTGTGCCCGGTCCATCAGCACAATATCAGGCTTATTCGCAAGAATAGTCCTGTCTGTGATGATGGCCCGGTCCCAATAGAGCCTGGCGCGGTCATTTTCGAGCACGGCTTCCGGCAAGTACTTGTAATACGGCACTTTCCGGCCCACGAGACCGTATTTCAGAGCGAGCTCCTGGTGTAGAATTCTGGGTACTAGGTTGTGCCTGTGCAAGTACTCAGAGTTAGAAAGCGCCGAACAACCGGAGATGACATGCCTAAGTGACTCCCCCGGGATGGCGACAAGCTCGACAGACGTCGACGGTGCCATCCTTTAGGATGTATCTCCGATAGTTGTTGGTCTTAATAACCTGATCCTGTATTGCACAGACAAAACCCTCGGTTTCCCCCGAAGAGGTCACCGAAACGTAGCCAGTTGAGGGAGGCTCGACTGTATCTACGAAATTATTATTATTATTATTAATTTTATCACTTTCCTATCAAAATATGTGTGTTCATAATCTATTAAGTAAATACACAAAAACAACATTGGTTCATAAACAAAGAAGATATGCCTGAAAGTATTTTATCTTTTCCGTCCTGGCCATAGTACAGCGACTGCATTTTTACAAATAACCGATGTTATTCGGTATGGTATGGAGAAACAAAAGCTTACTTTGTTTGATTTTTCATTTTTTCAAGATTCGTATTCAGGTGCAAGGTGTTTTTTCCACCTGGACTACTATAGCAGCTGGTGTATCAGCAATTTTCTATCAGTGGTAATTTGTCCTCTTTCTACCACTTGTATGCTGAAGATCTCCAAATCTATATTCAGTCCTTTTTTCAAGATTTGTCTAAAACAGTTAACACTATTAACGCTGTTTAACGATTAATCCTAAGAAAACTCAGGCCATAGTAATTTTTTTATAGGATTGAGTACAAACTAGCACACAGTCCACCATATGGTAAGTGCTTGCTGTGGCCCATAGACATCTACATCTATCCCCGATTACAAATCAAAATGCAGATGCGTTGTCACCCGTGAGGACTTAAATGTAATGCCTCGTTTCAAGTAAAAAAGGGTCTCCGGTTCTCTAAACTCACCATACTATAGCAGCATTAAGCTACTATTTTACACTGTTATTCTGAGAGAGCGTGGTCCTTGCCGACCCATTCGTGCTACAACTAAACTACTAATATAACTGCAGCATGGCTCTACCACGTATAAAAAAATTGGTATCTTTACTTCAAAATTTTGTTGTTATTTTCTTAGAACCAAAAGTTTATTTCAAATTAGAAGATTTTATTCATAGATAAATTTCATAATATATTGATGTAAAATAAAAAAAAATGTAAAATATCAGTACTATAGGCTTCTATTCCGTTCACCTCTTGCACCGTAACTTTTTTTAGACGGTAAAAATTAAGCCACTATAATGCTGGTTATTATTTCCAGGTCAGTGGAACCGACTTTAATTGTACTTTTTTTAAATAAGTCATACTTCACGGTAATATATAAATTTCTACAACTGACGTCTGAAGTTGGTGCTTCGATACAATACGCATTGCACCTTATAGCGCTCCTAATATTCCTTTTACAGTTTAACCTTCCTATATCCAGTGGTAGCTCATGTTCTAAGTTAGTAGTGGGATTTGTTGAAACTTAATAAATATTTATCTTCATTTCGACTCAATCCGATAGCATTAATTGTAGTGTTGGTGTGAGAATACCCACTACCCGGTATCCCGCGGGTGTCGTAAGAGAAAACAGATGGAAACAAATCAGGAGATGGACAACGGCGTCTTCCTAATAATGATTAAAAATAAAAATAAAATTAAAAAACTGAGATGGCCAATCTACCTCTATGAGGCAATATATGGCGGAGGCCTATTTACAATATTAGACTTTAATGTAAAAAAAAAATTCAATGGAATCAAAGATTTTTTTATAATCCACATACGCAAGGCAAAGCGGCAGATTGTACTCTTCAGTCTTCTGTACAGTTTGCCCAAGGGTATATATTTGGTTTATGGTACAAAAGCCGTATTGGAAATCGGCTTATTCTGGAGGCTGGAAGTCGTCGAATCTGCGTGCGATACGATTCGTAATGATTCTCGAGAACAGCACGTCGACGCGACCCGGAAGAAATATTGGTACTTAGTTCTTCAAAAGAGCACTGTCGCCTTTCTTGAAGAATATAGTAATCGGAATCATCAATCATCAGAATACTGCCGGATAAGACTTGATTTTGAATGATGAATACATCTGCTCATAGAACCTTTCAATCTCACTTAAAATTTCAGGTGTCCCGGAAATGACCGTCTTTTCTTGTGCCTAGTTTTGCGTTGAATTTTCCCATTAGGTTTTGGAGGTTTGCATGACTTTAGAGATATTCTCATACTTTTCCTCGACCTGCTCAACGGTGTAAATATAAGAAATCATCAAGTGTAAAATAATTTTAATATAACTAAGTAATATATGTAGTTACTATTACATTTTATGCGATTGCTCAGCAAAATTAAAGACATGAATGCAGAGTTATTTTCGTTTTGTTTTAGATTGAAAAGCGATGTTCATCGATAGAGCAGCACACTGTTCTGAGCAATAGGAAATGGAATATCTCAATTGTTTATTTACAATCATAATCGAACACAGTTTGATGTATTAGAATGAAAGGAGACGTTGTAATTAGTTGATATAAAAATACCTATTTTCTTCTAAAATTTTAAAATACTTTCACATAAAAAGTGGGATAGGAAAGGATATAACGATATTGATATTATGTTCCAGTTTGGGTTAATTGTTTAAAAAACAGAGCGTTGTTTTGAAAATAATAATAATATAATATACTAAGCCGGGTCTCGGTATAAACTAAGATGTTGTATCTTTATATTTTTATCTTTATAAACTAAGCCAGATCTGTGTCAAACTAAATCATGTAGTTTCATACGCGGTAGAGCTACCCTGCAGCTATATTATGATTGTAGCACGAATGGATCGGCTCGACCGGGGCGGGACCACGCTCTCACAGAATACCAGCGTAAAATAGCAGCTTAATACTGCTGTGTTTTGTATGGTGAGTGTAGAGATCCGGAGTTCCTTTGTATTGGAAACAAGCATTGCATCTTAGTCCTCAGGGGTGACAACGCATCTGCGTTTTGATTCTTAATCGATGATAAGTGTAGATGTTTAATAGGCCACAGTATCCACATACCATCAAGCAGACTGTGTGCTCGTTTATCACTCTATTTACTCGTTTATTATTCTATAAATAAAAAAATAAAATAAAAAATGTTTGTATATGCATCAATATTTCTATTTATTTTATGGAATATATATTTTATTACTTATATCTAACGCAAAGTTGTCTTACACGAAAATAAGCCTGTGTGTTCTGGTTTCATCGTCGTCATCGTCATCAATGCAGTCCATTGCAAGTCAACTGCTGGATATTGGCCTTCAAATGCCAAAACACACGGTTCTGAGCCAGCTGATTCCATTGTCTGCCTAAAAGTCTTACCTGGTCGCCACTCTATCTAGCGGAAAGTTTGACCTACAGGTTGTTTACTAGTACGAGTCTGCCACTCGAGAAACTTTCTTCTACATCAGTGGTGGGTTCTTCGAGCTATATGGCGGGCTTATTACCACTTCAGCTTACTGATCCGTTGTAGTCCATTTTTACTAATAACTATAAATATATTAAAATATTTTATGATTGGAATTATGATTTCTTAAATTTACGCGAACACTACACATTGAATAAAATCATTATTTACGGATTTTATCGCGTTTAATTACTTTAAATTATTTTTATTATTATCCCGACGTTTCGGGTGCTTTACAGCGCCCGGGCGCTGTAAAGCAATTAATTTTATTCAATGTGTAGTGTTCGCGTAAATTTAAGAAATCATAATTCCAATTATAAAATATTTTAATATATTTATAGTTATTAGTAAAAATGGACTACAACGGATCAGTAAGCTGAAGTGGTAATAAGCCCGCCATATAGCTCGAAGAACCCACCACTGATGTAGAAGAAAGTTTCTCGAGTGGCAGACTCGTACTAGTAAACAACCTGTAGGTCAAACTTTCCGCTAGATAGAGTGGCGACCAGGTAAGACTTTTAGGCAGACAATGGAATCAGCTGGCTCAGAACCGTGTGTTTTGGCATTTGAAGGCCAATATCCAGCAGTTGACTTGCAATGGACTGCATTGATGACGATGACGTCGATGAAACCAGAACACACAGGCTTATTTTCGTGTAAGACAACTTTGCGTTAGATATAAGTAATAAAATATTTATTCCATAAAATAAATAGAAATATTGTTGCATATACAAACATTTTTTATTTTATTTT